GCGCTGCCGCTCCGCCTCCATGTTCTGGAGCATGGCCTCCGTGAGGCTCAGGTCCCAGGCCTGCAGCACGCTGGCCACGGCGTCCAGCGAGGCCACCTAGTGACGGGTCCGGTCAGGGGCTGGTAAAAAAAATTTATTGATTTTTAGAGAGAGAGGAAGGGAGAGGGAGAGAGAGGTAGAAACGTCAATGAGAGAATCATTGATCGGCTGCCTCCTGCACGCCCCACACTGGGGATGGAGCCCGCAACCCGACCGGCAACCAAACCTGCCACTCGGGTCCCTGGGTCGACCCTCAGCCACTGAGCCCCGGCCGGGCCACGTCCTTCATTTCTTTAAGCGACTCTGACTTGCACGCAGGCCACGTCCCATCCGAGGGCTCTGCCTCCCGCCCCAGCGGGGAGCCCCAGGATTGGAGGGGTCTGCAGGGGGCTCCAAGCCTTTGCTCAGCTGGGGACCCCAGGCCCAGGGCGCCCCCAGGTTGCCTTTCCAGGCTGCCCCCCTTCCGTCCCTGGGGCCCACTGGGGCTTGAGCCTACAACCCGGGCCTGTGTCCTGACCAGGAATCAAACCTCAACCTCCAGGTTCATAAGGCGACGCTCAACCACTGAGCCACACTGGCCGGGCAGGTTCAAAACAATTTTGGGTCTCTTTTCTGTGACAACCAAGATGTATGACCCGCTCCCAAGGCCCCGCCCCGCCCCGCCCCCAAACTGGAGGGCGGTGTTTGGGAGGGAAGACAAGCCCACCCTCCTGGAGGGAGGGTCCCACCTTCAGCGTGAGCTCGGTCTTGCCCGCGCCCCTCCGCTCGCACTTGTCGTGCTCGGTGATCCTGCGGTTGAGCTCGCAGTAGGCCTGATGCAGCTGCGGGAGGGCGGCGGGACTCAACACGGTCCCTGCTTTCCCAGAACCTTCTGTCAACAGCAGCAGTGTGTGTATCGATGGAGGGATGGATGTTTGAATCAACTATAAATTATAATTATAGGTTATAGGTTAATGATAGATCAAGGGTGGCTCACGAAGGCCGTGAGGGTGAAAGACGTCGTGCTGAGAGCGCGGACTGACACCTTGTGAACAAGGGGCTGCGGGGTCAGCAGGTGACAGGGAACCACCTGTGTCACTGCTGTCATTTGGGATTGCGTTTGCTCTTCGCTGTGGGTATATGTTCCTGTGGCCTCGCATTCATTTTATTAAACTTTTATTTGGAAACAATGACGGTTTTCCGGGAAGTGGCGGCGATAGTAGGGTTCCCGCGTGCCCTTAGCAAGTCTCTCCCAGGATGGCTCTCAGTCACCCCGTAGTGTCCAGGCCAGGATGCGCGTCACACAGACCGCATGCCCGTTACGTTTCACCTGTCCGTGTGTGTGTGTGTGTGTGTGTGTGTCACCAGTCGTGTGCAGCCACCACCACCGTCACCATCCAGAGCTCCTTTGGGTCACGTCCCCGCTCCCCCTTCTCCTCAGAGGGCCGGGCCCTTTGCCCTCCGGGCCTCCTTCCCTTTGTGGGGCCAGAAGCTCCGCTGTTCGCCTCCCCTCCCTGATAGTAAAGAGAGGAGTGGAGGGCCCCAGGGGCAGAAGGGGGGCAGCCTGGAAAGGCAACCTGGGGGCGCCCTGGGCCTGGGGTCCCCAGCTGAGCAAAGGCCTGGAGCCCCCTGCAGACCCCTCCAATCCTGGGGCTCCTCGCTGGGGCGGGAGGCAGAGCCCTCGGATGGGACGTGGCCTGCGTGCAAGTCAGAGTCGCTTAAAGAAATGAAGGACGTGGCCCGGCCGGGGCTCAGTGGCTGAGGGTCGACCCAGGGACCCGAGTGGCAGGTTTGGTTGCCGGTCGGGTTGCGGGCTCCATCCCCAGTGTGGGGCGTGCAGGAGGCAGCCGATCAATGATTCTCTCATTGACGTTTCTACCTCTCTCTCCCTCTCCCTTCCTCTCTCTCTAAAAATCAATAAATTTTTTTTTTTTTTTAAAGCGAGGCCACCAGTCCCGGCCGTGGGGAAGGCGCTCCCACCTGCACCGGGGTGCTCCCGTCGTCCGCGTACACCCGGGGGTCGGCTCCCAGCCTCAGGAGCACCTCCACGGCCTCCAGGTGGCCCCCGAAGGCGGCTCTG